CCCCAAAGATCAGGTACAAGGTAAAGATGTCGGCAAAAATGTATGCTCTCACCACTGCTATTCCTGTGATCTAGCCAGCTTAATAAGGCAAGAAAAGAAAATAGAGGCATACACATAAGACAAAAGAACTAAAAATGTCCCTGTTTGCAGATGCCATCATGGTCTACATAGAAAATCCCAAGGAATCTTAAAAAAACATTCTTCACACTAGTAAGTTCAGCAAGATCGCAGATATAAGATCAACATACAAAAATCAGTTGTAACCACAGAAAAAGTAATTGCGCTTCTATATTCTTACAGTGAATTTGTGGAAACAAATTAAAAATACAGTACCATTTATAACTACTCAAAAAAATATAGCAATGGAGTGATGGCTGTTCACAGGTCTCTTGGCTGCTAGAGAGCCCCATTCTGAGATAAGACACCTCTCCACCCTGACTCTAGTAAAGAGGTCAGGAAACCTTGAGTAAGAGTGGAGGTACTAATTTCGGGCAGTTAATTACATTCTTTCAGCATCCATCTCCCTGAAGTTTTCACTGGGCAAATCCTTCAGGAGGACATCCCCATTAGCTATTCATTTTTCTTTCGCACTGACTGGAGAATGAAGTGACTGTTGGCGGTGTCACACAACTCGTTGAAATTCACCCCTGGGTGAAGTGATCCTCAAATAATTACCAAATGTAGTTCAGGTAACTGAATTAGTGAATTACATTGGCTCCTTTGAGATGAAAGGCTCTTTAGGAATGTGAAATACTTTGGTTCTTTGTTATTAATAACCTGAACAATGAAAGACCCCAAAGTAGTATTCAATATGCTCCAGGAATGGGCTGACTAAAATTAGAGAATGCAATTGATTTTCATTTTCCATACTTTTCATTTTCTATCCTTTTCATTTCAGTAGTCAGGACTGAATACCACAAGTCATCAAATCCTCTCTGATGTTAATAAGGCATCAACTACAGAACTCTGAGAAGAGAAAAATTCAGCCAAAGTGTGGCAAGTAGGTGGTTCTCCTTTCTATGATTTGTTACCATTTCCTCTCACTCACCCTGTTACAATACTCTGTGGGTGAAAACTTCCTACATCCTACCGGCTTACATTTTCTTCTGCCTTAGTCTAATTTTCCAAAATTAAGGGTCTCAATTACTCTTCCACCCTTCAGACAAACAATTGCACCCATGACTTGTGCCCAGCAAAGAAAAGTAGGATGCCCTCAGCTTAGTGCTCTGCCCTGGGTATGCAGAAGACAGAAGCATAGAGGCGAATCCCCAGCAGACAGCTTGACCTTGGGGCAGGAGGAATGGGAAGTGGTAGGGAGAGGGCTTAGGGCTGGCAAATGAAACCCCACCCTATCTGAGGTCGGTAGAGAGCTGCAGAAGGTGGAGATGCTGGGCCCTACTCCTGCTAGACAGGGGTGTCCCCCATTTACTGAATTAGATCTACAGTTCCTCATTTTCAGTTTTCATTTTTTTTTTATTTTTTTTTTAATGTTTACTTATTTTTGAGAGACAGAGACACAGACAGAGCCCAAGCGGGGGAGGGCAGAGAGAGAGGAAGGCAGAGAATCTGAAGCAGTCTCCAGGCCCTGACCTGTCAGCACAGAGCCTGATGGAGGGCTCAAACCCACAAGCCACAAGATCATGACCTGAACTGAAGTTGGACACCCAACCAACTGAGCCACCCAGGCATCCCTCAGTTTGGGTTTTTAAAGCATTGAGGGCTTTTCTATTTCTCTTCCTTGCTTTCAAAATATCCTTTTTTTTTTTTAAGTTTATATACTTATTTTGAGAGATACAGAGAGCATAAACAGGGGAGGTGCAGAGAGAGAGAGGGAGAGAGAGAATCCCAAGCAGGCTCCATGCTCCGTGCACAGCCCGATGTGGGGGCTTGATCTCACAACCTGAGCCAGTATCAAGAGTAGGACCCTTGACCGACTGAGCCACCCACGCACCCCTCAAAATAACTTTTTAAGTGTAATTTATTCGGTTTGGAATTGGAATAGGTAATACACTCACATCGTTCAGAAGTCAAAGGCATATAATTTTATACAGTGATGCCTCCCTTCCACACACGCTCTAGCCTTCCAGTTCCTCTCCAGAGGCTTCAGTATCACTGATTTCCTACTTTTCCTTTCAGAAACATACAAGTAAACTTGCGCAAAGCACCTCCCACCATCTTCTATTTACACAAATAGTAACTTACTATCCTATTCCATTCCTTACTTTTACTTAGTATGTATCAGAGATCACACAAGTAACAAAGAGCTCCTCAATCCTCCTCCACGACAAGTAGTAACCCATTATATTAACATAGGACCATCTGTCTAACCATCAGTGGTTATTTCTCTCCCGTTAGTGATCATTTCCACTATTGCCAATTTTTTGATGCTACAAATAACGCTGCAATGAATAATCTTGTTCAATAAGGGATTCCCACATCGAGGAATATGTCTGTAATTTAATAGAATTGCTACTAATAGAATTAGTACAAATAATTCATATAATTTCTGAATCAAAGATTATACATATTTGTAATTTTGATAGATAACTTCCAAAGTGCCAATCTATGTCACCTAACACAATATCCTTTACGTTTGTATTGTGCTGTTGGTCTTTTTCTTACTGGTTATGTAGGAACAAGTTGCAGATATGTTTCCCAATTGTCCATTGACTTTTGACACCACTTATGGTTGTTTTTGCATGCATAGTTTTAAAAACATGGTTGAATTTTTCAATCATTTTTATATCTGCTATAATTTGTGTCATATCTTAAAAGGTTTTTTTCAGGGGTGCCTGGGTGGCTCAGTCAGTTAAGTATCTGACTTCAGCTCAGGTCATGATCTCTTGGTTTGTGAGTTCAAGCCCCGCGTCAGGCTCTGTCTTGACAGCTCAGAGCCTGGAGCCTGCTTCAGATTCTGTGTCTCTCTGCCCGTCCCCCGCTCATGCACACTCTCTCTCTCTCTCTCTCAAAAATAAATAAACATTAAAAAAATTTTAAGTTTTCTTTGGTCATAAATTACAAGAATATAGTCCATATTTCTTTTCATATTTTTGTGATTTCACATTTTTATATTTAAAATCTTTGACCCATTCAGAATTTCTTTGGTAAAGTGTGAGGTATGGTTTCAAATTTATTTATGTATTTATTATTATAGCTGGCTACCATGTTGTCCAAACAGCACTGATAAAACATCTAGTTTTCCTCAGTGATTTGAAATGAGACTTTTATTATATGTTAAATCCCCCTATGTTTAGGGCTCTACTTCTCGATATTGATTCTGTTTCATTTCTTTCTTCATGAGCCAGTGGTACCCTATTTTAATTTTTTAGAATTTAACTATAATCAGCAAGGGAAAATAAAAGCAAAAATGAACTACTGGGACCTCATCAAGGTAAAAAGCTTCTGCACAGCAAAGGAAACAATCGGCAAAACTAAAAGGCAACTAATGGAATGGGAGAAGATATTTGCAAATGACATATCAGATAAAGGGTTGGCATCTAAAATCTATAAATAACTTACCAAACCAATACCCCAAAAAACAAATAAATCCAGTGAAGAAATGGGCAGAAGACTTTTCCAAAGAAGATATCCAAATGACTAACAGACACATGAACAAATGCTCGATCAACATCACTCATCATCAGGGAAATACAAATCAAAACCATAATGAGATACCACCTCACACCCATCAGAATGGCTAAAATTAACAACTCAGGAAACAACAGATGTTGGTGAGGATGTGAAAAAGGGCAACCCTCTTACACTGTTGGTGGGAATGCAAACTGGTGCAGCCACTCTGGAGAAAAGTGTGGCGGCTCCTCAAAAAATTAAAAATAGAACTACCCTATGACCCAGCAATTACACTACTAGGAATTTATCCAAAGGATACAAAAATGCTGATTCAAAGGGGCACATGCACCCCAATGTTTACAGCAGCACTATCAACAGTAGTCAAATTATGGAAAGAGCCCAAATATCCACCAGCTGACGAATGGATTAAGAAGATGTGGTGTGTATGTGTATATATATATATATACATACACAATGGAATACTGCTCAGCAATGAAAAAGAATGAAATCTCACCATTTGCAACAACACGGATGGAACTGGAGGGTATGATGTTAAATGAAATAAGTTAGTCAGAGAAAGACAGATACCGTATGATATCACTCATATGTGGAATTTGAGAAACTTAACAGATGAACATAAGGGAAGTGAAGGAAGATAAAAACAGAGAGGGAGGCAAACCAGAAGAGACTTAAGTACAGAGAACAAACTGAGGGTTGATGGGGGTAGGTTAAATGGGTGACCGGCATTAAGGAGGGTGCTTTTTGGGATGAGCACTGGGTGTCATACGTAAGAGATGAAATCACTGGTTCTACTCCTGAAGCTAAGACTACACTGGATGTTAACATAACTTGAGAATAAAAAAAAAAGAAAAAAAACAAAACAAAGTGAACTATAATTAATTGTACTTCAATTTTTAAAGCTTTACTTATGTATCTCCCCAAAGAGACTTTCCTTTGGGTCAGTGATCCAATGGAAATGAGGTTTCTTCTCTGGGTCTTATAACTTTGTTTACTTTCCCTCAAATAGCTCAAGACCAATTTTTTCTTAATCTTCCAGAAAAAGAAATTTTGCTTCTACCATCTGAGTGGCATAGTCAAATACATGAAATAACCTTGGGCCTCTAAGGAGAAGGCCACGGGAATACCGTATTTTACTTTTCCAAATCCTAGTGCATGACAAGAACTCAGACAACATGCTCTTTTGTTTCGAAGGCCATCACTTTAAAATCAAGTTATAATTGACAAATATTTATTATATGGCAAGTTGTTTCAGTTAGGATGCTTTTGGCCTCAAGCCAGAGAAACAGATTCAAGCATCTTTAAACAATAAGGAAATGCATTAATTGCAATAATTGTAATTCTTAAGGGGCAGAGAGCTGGGTAGGCAGTTTCAGTGGCCCAGCCATGTGATTACAGATCTAGGCTCTTACCGTCTTTCTGCTCTGCCATCCTCAGGCTTCAACTCCTTCTCAAGGTGATGGCAAGATGGCTTCAATATTTCCAGACATGACAAGACCTTGAGAAAGAAGAGACAACATCTCTTTTGTTCGCTTAGGAGCAAGAAAACGTTTCTCAAAAGTCTCCCATGTCTCATTGGCCAGAATTGGGTGACATGCCCATCCCTGAATCAACCTCTGGCAACAGGAATGTGATTACCTTCAGGCCCATCAGACCCACCCTTGGCCTGGGGAAGGGTGAGTTTCCTCTAAGGCACATTGCTGCTTAGAAGAATACATCTACTGCACAAAACCTGGATTCGAGTAGTAATGGAAACAGGTCATTGGTGCTGATAATGCTTATCATGAAAAGTGCTATGTATGTAATTTACAGGTGCTATGGGGGTTCTAAAGAATGAGCAACTTCAAGGGGGAAGGGTAGAATCAACAGGGAATATTCCAGCTGAGCTTTAAAAGATAAGCAGGTCATGGAGGAAGAACAGCCAGGCAGGCGAGACACTGTACAAAGGACAGAGAAGGCATTGGGCTGGCACACTGAGGTTCTGTCAAGCTGTTGAATTTGGTGGGGAGCTGCTGCTTTACGCAAGGCACACCTGAGGGGAAGCTTTGGGCTAGACAGCAACCTCAGTTTGCACCCTTTCAGAGATGTCATCGGTGGATACCATCCCTAAGAAGTTCTGGCAGCAGTTAAAGTTAATTGTGGCAAGCACAAATAGCAAATCATTAATTAACCTTCTAAGGTCACAGACCGCATCTCAGAGACCACTATGTCTCTTCTCTCACTTCACACTCAAGCTCCTTGCAAAAAGATACCCACACTAACAATCTTCTCACTTTCATTCAATCCTCAACCCCAACCCAAGGATGTTAAGGACATGGCGGTTGCTCCTGCTAAGGTCACCAGTGGCCTCAATAATTGCAAGACACAAAACAGAATAAAACCAACAACATGGGGTGCCTGGACGGCTCAGTCGGTTAAGCGGCCGACTCTTGATTCCGGCTCAGGTCATGATCTACCGGTTTGTGAGATCGAATCCCACATCAGGTTCTACAATGACAGCCTGATGCCGGGAGGCTGCTTGGGATCCCTCTCTCCCTCTCTCTCCACCCCTCCCCTGCTCCCATGCATTTTCTCTCTCAAAATAAATAAACTTTAAAAAAAAAAAAAACCACCGCCAACAAAAAGACTCCTTCACATTCTACCTTGTCACCATACTGAACTATTTATAATTCACTAATTACATTGATCAACATCTTTAGGGACCAAGGCAGGGAAAATATGCTTTCTTTCTCCCACTTCTGTGTAAAATTCAAATTTAAAACTATCTTAAATCATATTTGTTCCACAAGGACTTCATTTTTTTGAAATATCAAATTCTTTCAAAAACAAAATCAGTCTCTCTCCCTCTCAGTATCCCTGTTTGTTGCTTATTTAAGCACACACATGGTCCACCAGTAGAGTAATCCAACAATGAACACATTTGCATCTTGTTTGTACTGGGTTGAACGGTGTTCCCCAAAAAGGTATATCCACCCAGAACCTCAGAATGTAAACTTATTTGGCCTTTGCAGATGTAATTAAGGTAAAGGTCTTCAGGTGAGATCATCCTGGATTAGGGAGAGCCCTACGTCCAACGACAAGTCCTTATAAGAGACGGAAACAGAGAATTGTAAGCCATGTAACACCATGTGAAGACAAAGGCAGAGAATGGAGCAATGTATCTACAAGCCAAGGAACACCAAGAATTACTGACAGCCACCAGAAGATAGGAGAGAAGCATGGAACAGATTCTCCCTCAGAGCCTCCGGCAGAAGCCAACACTGCTGCCCCTTTGATCTCAGACTTCTGGCCTCCAGAGCTGTGAGAAAATACACTTCTGTTATTTCAAGTCATCCAGCTTGTGGTAATTTGTTACATCAAGGGCAAGGCATTCTTGCAACCGATACTCATGCTTGCAGACGCCTCGTGCACGCGCGCGCGCGCGCGCACACACACACACACACACGCACACACGCACACACACACACGGCATATATACACATATTGCTCGCACTTGTCCAGAAAGATCAATGGCCCAATTGCCCAGGAACCAAGGCCTAAGCCCATTTCCCCACTAGCTGGGTTTCCAGAGAGCCAAAACCCCTTCCCAGTATTTAATGGGCTCACTTCCCCCCAACATTTACATACCCAGTTCACCAAGGAATGGCTAAAGGAGACTAGGTGCCTTGAGTGGGGACACAGGGTTACTGCCAGGGTCCCCATCACTACTCAGTAACTGTGAATGAGTAGGCCATATGAATAAATGGGGCCGCTGGGGGGGCCCCTGGGTGGTTTGACCAGCCTTAGGATAAAGTCAAAACATTTTGTTCTGGAGTCTCAGACGTCCACAGAAAAGGCCTGAGGCAGAGGCAAACCAGAACACAGGATCTCTCCTCCCTGGAAAGTTAACCTTCCACCCTCACCCACCCCTTTCCCAATTCTCCCCTCACCCTGTGAAAGCTCCCAGCCAGCCCAGGCAGTGACCCACCCACTCCGGCTTACTTCCCATTCGTTTCACTCAGTCATTCAACAAACATCCGCAGGCACCTACTGTGTGTCAGTCACGGTGCCAGGCCCTGGAGATCCAGGGATGCCAGGCACCGCCTGCTTGCCAGACCCCACTGGGGAGAGTGTAGGAGCCTCCCTCTGCTCCTCTCATTCCAGGCACGCTCCACACAAGGCCCTCTCTTCAGAGAACCATGGCTTCTCCATTTCTTCTTTCAGAAGCCTCCCCCTGGTGCAGGAGCAGTGGCTCAGAAAATCTGTCTTTTCAGTTGCATTATAGGATTTTTTTTTTTAAAGCAGCAGCAGCAGCAGGGGCAGCACCTTACCTTCCAAGAAGCCTGTGGCTTAGGCTAATATTTACATGGATTTGCATTTCCTTTGTACACAAGGATGGGGAAAGGGTGGGGAAGGGAGTTTTGCCAAAGAAGGAACATGCACCCTGAGCCAATCCTCAAAGTACTATTGCAGTTGCCAATTGAAAATCAAGAAGCAACTTGTTTAGCTAAAACTCAGGTGATTTCTATCACTCCCGCCCTGGCTCTCCTCCCCGCTGCAAACTCCTGGCTCCTCAGCTGGCCTGTGTATCTGTTCGAGTCAGGTGTGGGCGAGCTCTATTTTGTCTTGGTCTTACATGCACTGGAAATTGTCTTTCTCCCCTAATTCTTCAGGTTTTGGTCATTTTCAGAGAACTCTGTGGGCACCCTCTGGTGGCTGACTGAAAATTTTACCTGCAAAAGTTGCAGTTTAGCAGGATGTTGCAGGCTCTCTTTTGCAGTCACGCTCTTTGGTTGGAGGTTAGAAGCTATAAGCTTATTTGCTGTTCTTTGTACTACGTCTTTCCTCACACGATACTTGAGCTGGAGGCCAGGACAGTAGCTCTGCCCGCTCCGGAGGAAAGACACTTTACAGAAAGGGCAGAGCAGGGGCGTCTGGGTGGCTCAGGTCACGATCTCTGGGTTCGTGAGTTTGAGCCCTGCGTCGGGCTTTGTGCTGCCAGCTCAGAGCCTGAAGCCTGCTTCGGATTCTGTGTCTCCCTCTCTCTCTGCTCCTCCCCCACTTGCGCTCTGCCTCTCTCTCTCAAAAATAAATAAAGATTAAAAAAATTTTTTTTGGAAAGGAAAGGAAAGCAAGCAAGCAAGGGAGGGCAGAGCAAAGAAACGGCATGAATTGTGCTTTGCAGTTTTTCCAGGTCAGCCCAGGTGAGGAGGATGAGGGCAGCCTTCTTTGGGCTCTCAGAGGACTCACCTCCAGAGGAAAACTCACTGTATCTCAAGGGCAGGCCAGGCTCCTGGAACGGTTCTCTTCCCAGAATTCCTGCTCCTCCACCAGTCCAAGGGGCAACCATTCCTGAGAATCTTCCTGATCTTCACAGAAGGGCTGGGGCTGAAAGGAGGGAGGAGTAGAAGCGGGAAGAACTGTCCACCTGAGGATGACCACTCTCAGGCCTTAAAATCAGAAGATCTGACGAGCATTGCTGTTCTGTCAACACAATAAATACCACCACCTGATATTCCTTAGCTCTTTCTCCAAGGATTTCATTAGCCTCAGGTCACTTCCCAAAACCAGTTCATGTTACCTTCATTTTATAAAAAGAGGCCCCAGGAGGTTAACTACTAATGTGACTTTCTCCAGCTTGTCAGCATGGGCCAAGATGGTGTCTCCTCTCCTGCCTGCTGGTGTTCTGGAATATTTACCACTAGCTGCTGTGGGTCTCAGCCACATCCTGCCCCTGAGTCTATCAAAGCAAGCCACCCAGGAACAGGCAAATCGTGATGAGGCCTTTGTAAGGCAAGATCTTAATTTAAGGAAGGGTACACTTGAGGCACAGGAGAATGGCAGTATCGCAAGTGGGTTCCAGAAGCTGGAAGGACAACCAGGTTGCTCAGATTCCAGACTCCTTCGTCTTAGGCCTAAGTCACATCATTAACTGGGAAGCAAAGAAGCGTTGTCTACCAGAAACAATCCTCTTTATTGCTGCCATTTTTCATTTGCTTTCTTTCCACAACCAGGCCCCAGGGCAGAAGGGAAGCCCAGCTCCCGGTGAGCCATCAGTCACCCCACACTGGCCGTGGCAGCCATGTTCTGCCCAGCTGGGTCTGAGAATGCCGCTGGGGGCAGTGGGAGGGGAATAATGTCTTTGGTGGACAGCCTCGAAGCTAAGATAAGACTGGGACAGAGCAGAAAACAAAGAAGTCCGTGTGACCACAAGGTCAGGGAACAGACAGCTCAACTACCCACAGAGCCACCTGCCCAGAGGCAGGGCAGTCAGGGATCTCCTGCTAAATCTGAACTGAGCTCATGGATTTCTCCCTCTAGCTAATGCTTCCAGCAGAATGCAAATATTGTTACTGTAGGCCCCAAACACTCACGCAGGGATGGAGAAGGCATCTTGATCATCACAGCTGAGGGAGTGCTCCCTAAGTGCAGCCACCTCCCACTCTAAACCCTTCATCTAGGGGCGCCTGGGTGGCTAAGTGGATTGAGCAGCTGGCTTTGGCTCAGGTCATGATCTCACAGTTCATGAGTTCGAGCCCCGCGTCAGGCTTGCTTCTGTCAGCACGGAGCCTGCTTCAGATCCTCTGTCACCCCCTCTCTCTGCCTCTCCCCTGCTTGTGCTCTATCAAAAGTAAATTAACATTAAAAAAATATATTTAAACCCTTCACCTAGATGAATTCATTAGTCTCCATGAGAGCCAAATAAAGGAGGTGCATGCTGTTATTACCCCCCCCAGAAAAGGACACCACGACACAGAGATTCTTGCCCCACGTCATGCATATTGTCGCTGGTGGAGTCAGGATTCAAACCCAGCTGCCTGGCTCCAGAGCCTATTCTCTTCAACGGCTTCATCCCATCGTTTCCCTACGTGTGTGTCAGGGGCTCCTTTATCCTTCACAAAAGCTGCACATCGTATGCACTGCTATCTCCATTTTACTGATGAGAAAATGGAGTCATAGAGGCGTTAAACAGGGTTACACAGGCAGCAAGGGGCAGAGTCAGAATTTGAATCGAGGCAGCTAGACTCCTGAACCCCAGCTCTAACCATCACATTCTACCACCTCCCTCTAAGCGAGGGCAATTCTCCAAAGCTTCCGCTCATTGGGTTTTGCAGATTTCCTCCTAGACAGTGGCAAGCACCACTCTGGCTTTGGGGCTGGCCCTGAAGCCCAGGGAGTAGCCCTCCTCCCCTCCTAAAGGCAGATCAGAAAAGGCTCCTCCCTGTCTGCACACCGCTCCAGGGATGGGCTCATTGCCTCATGCCTCTGACTGGCTAGGCAATATCAGTCTTGATTCTGTCCAGGTCACCCAGGGTTTACCTGCCTCTCTGGGGCTTTCAGCCCTGGGAAAGTATCTCACTCTTCCTTACCCAGATTATTCCAATTTCCCTGGAAGCCCAAATATTTATTTTATGGGACATAAAGGCAAATCCAGCTCCTCCACTTGGTATCAGGCTCCCCAGGGCTCCCCTGAGGCAGCCACTTAGGGAATTGGGGAATGAGTAGGTCAGTCACAGTCCTGCTCCTGAGCTGAGGGTCCAGCACTCATAGGGCATTACTAGATTTTACTTTTCTGATTAAGAAATGTCTTAAGCAAATTCTTCTCCTTTCTAATTGATCATGTATCTGGCTACCTTCCAAAATTGACACTGGCCTTCGTCTTCTAAGGTTTGTGTTCTGCTGAGTTGGGCAGTTGAGTTTTATCAAACAGTTGAGTTTTATCAACGCCATGATATCAACTTCAAATTGCCAGGTACCCTTGCTGGATGTCTTCCATTTGTCCCTCCATATCTCCCTTCACACTTCCCCCAGGGTGCTGACCTATAAGGACAATATCAATAGGTTCCTTGTCCTCAGGCTTTCATTGGTTTCATCCAGTTGGAGGTCACTGGCAGTAAATAAGTAGGCAGGAGGAGAGAGAGGTCAGAGTGTTTATCCTGCCAGCTTACCTTGAGTTATCTGAGTGCCTCTATGGAGGCCATAACATATATTTATACTCCTGTATCCATTGGTAACAACTTACCTCAAACAGTAACTTAAAACAATAACAATCACTTATTTTATTGATGAACCTACAATTTGGATGAGGCTTAGAGAGGCAACTCAACTCTCTTCCGTGTGGAATAGGCCAGGGCAGGGTGACTGGGGCTAGAGAATCCACTTCCAAGATGGCTAGCAAGTTGGTGCTGGTTATCATCTGATCATCTGGGGGAACCTAGTCAGGGCTGCTAACAGAGACCTTTAGTTCTCCAGAAGGGCCTCTCCTTGGGGCTGTTAGACTTCCTCCCAGCAAAGTGAGTGGTCCAAGAGGAAAGTAATGGCAGCTCCCAATCTCTTAAGGCCTGGGCCCAGAAACTGGGCCAACATCACTTCCACCATGATCTTGGTCAAAGCAGTCACAGAGACCCCTCTGATTCAAGAGGAGAGAACACAGACCTCACTTTTGATGAAAGGACTATCAAAGAATTTTAGACTGTCTTTAATCCACCACGGTTTATAAGTGGTCTCTCCTACAGCTGCCTTTCCAGGGTCCAATAACTGCTCTCTCCCCTTGCTCCATCAGGCCAGGAGTGGAACACCTGGCTCCTTGTTAGTGCCTGTCCCAAGGTGTGTCCATGGTTTGATTCACCTCTACCCTGATCACACGTTTGTAATAGCCTCTTTATTAAACTCCACCTCAAAATATCCAGCTTGAGTGTACCCAGGGATGTGCCTGGACCCTGGCAATATTTCTCTGCCAAGTGCCTACTTGACCCCAACAGGAATATTCTGTGAGACCACCCTCCTCAAAACCTCTCCTCCTAACTCCAACCAACCCCCAAACTCCCCACACTCCAATAGCCTCTCAACTTTACCTATCACTTTCCTTCTGGCCCTTGGAAGACCTCAGCTCAGTCAATAAGAGCTGGCTAGCTTATCAAAATAATTCATGCTTCCATACTTCTAGGGTGCTCATGATTCACACATACCTCACCCAGGAAAATGTTTATACTTCCTCAAGAGTCAAATCTTAACCCAAACTCTTAAATTCTATGTTCATAAACATAGACATTTGTGAACCTCCAAATAGGCTAATAAAGGGATCTGTCTTTTGGTCAGGCTAGCCTTTCAGATCTCCTCAAACCACACAAAAAACTTCCAAATCTTCCTACCTGCAGCCTTCTAAAGTTTGCCTTAACCTTGATTTCCCATGCAGAGCCTGAAGATCTATTTTACTTCTTTTGGCTTTTTCCTGGTAACTCTCATGCCTCCAGTGGGGGACCTATAACTGATTAAGTCCAGAGCCATGGCAAAAGGGCATCTTGGCTGCCCCCATGCCTCATCTCATTCAAAGACAAGTGTATCACCAGCAAGTGAAGAGGAACAAAGTTGGTCCTTCTATGACACTGCAAAAGATAGCATTTTCTGGATTCTTATCTGGAACTCCAGTAATTATGGTATCTGTCATTAACTTAATCAGCAGAACTGAGAAAGGCAGTGCAAAACTATTTCTGAAGCACTTTCTTCACTTCTAGTACTTTCAAAACTTTTCATTAATTCATTCACTGAAGAAATATTTATTTGAACACTTGCTGTATGTGATAGGCAATGTACTAAGCATTGGGAATCAATGATGAGCAAAAACAAACTGACTGGAAGATACGTCACTCAAAGAATTGCACAAATAAATGTGAAATAACAAATCATGATACCTTTTTCCTTGTATTATGAGTGTGCATAATAAGGAGACTGTCATCATCAGGGGGGTCAGGAATAAATATCCATCACTCTTAAATCCCACTGATGCTCCCATCCTCCACCAAACCCATCCCCACCCTGGGATAACCATGGAACAGCTCAAATGGAAGTGTTAGTCCCTGTTTCTTATAGCTCTGAGCTGCTAAGTGCTAGGGACTTCCACCTACAGCAGCCCTGTCAGCTTCCCAGTCCAACCCACCCACCCTAGGAGATATCAGGAGCCCAGGGACACCACTCCCATCAGTGGGAGGGGCCTGGAGTGGGCCTTAGTCGGAGCCTTCTTCTAAAGCAGAGTGAAATGTGTTTCATGGTGGCATGGTCAGGTCTTCTAGGAACCTACCTATTGCCATGCCAAGCTGCCCAAGGAATCTCTACCACAGAGTCCCAGCCCCATTTACCAGGATGCCTCAAAGGCAATGTTGCCGGAGATGTCGGTGGGGTATCTGGCTCAGCTCTTCATCAACATTTTTAACGAACCAGTTTCGGGGCGCCTGGGTGGCTCAGACAGTTAAGCATCTGACATGGCTCAAGTCCCGATCTCATGGTTTGCGAGTTCAAGCCCTGCCTCAGGCTCTGTGCTGACAGCTCAGAGCCTGGAGACTGCTTCAGCTTCTGTGTCTCCCTCTCTTTCTGCCCCTCTCCCACTCTCT